TTTTGGGTTTGGGAACTTATGAGAATTTCAATTGGCTGCCATTTTGTACTGAACTGAGATAGAGACCTCTAGTTTGCGTTGTTGGTCATCTTTTACCAGGACCTTCAAAATGAGGGGAAACTCGATGGGTCTTTGTATTTGAAATTTTTTAGTTTCCCCCAAAATCCCCCATTTTGGGGATGAACACCAAGTGGCGGTTGTGCCCAAAAAGTACTTAATAATATGCCATAATGGTGTGCCGAGTTTAGTTTTTCTAGTATGGGCCGTTATATAAGTCTATATATATAAAAATATATAAAAATTTGAACGAATAGTGTTTTTGGCCTCTGGGGACATCAAAATGAAAAAGTAAATCGGTCCCGGGTCTAGGTCTTACCGTGCCACCTACGGTAATAGCTACTTCGCTATAGGGAAATTCGCTAAAAACGTGGATCAGAGTTTTAATTTCAAAAACGTAGACGTAAATAAAGACAGCACCATGGGTTCGTACACTCTTAATTTAGTTTACTACTGCACTCTCAAAAGCAAAGATCTCAGTATGGCTAGAGACAATGGTTGGAGTGATCGTGAATAGTAAAATCTCCATCACACGATCTTCACTAGCAAGAGACTCTAAATGAAAAGTAGGTTCAATTCATTTGAAAATGATTCATAACTTGAATTTTTAAAACACCAAATCTCATGAAGACGATCACCATGCAGAAGAGGGATTGGAAATAGTAAAACCTTAATGATATGGCAACTGACATGAAAGTTTTCACACTCTTCCCCATTGAATTTGCTGAAATAAAATATTCATAACAGATAAACATATACTTCTTTGGGACGATCGTCATGGTTTTTTGGAACATAAAATCGTAAACTCAAGATAACGATACCTTTAATAGTTCTATAAAAAATCTAAATTTCGAACACCTTTGAATTTAGCCTTGAAGTGTTTCTTCATTTGTGGGCTTTAAATAGTTGTAATTCTATTAAAAACATTCAGTATAATTGATTGAATGAATTAATTAATAATACGAGTTGTATATAAAGTTTTAAAATCTTAAAAATGTCCTTCATGTAGACCTAATGTTTACTACACTTTAATTTTGTGGCTTTAATATACGCGCTGTGTTTAAGATGATACGCGTATGTGTGTCCTTGCAACGGTTTAGTCCAAATATATTTGGTAAATTAACACCAGCATAACGTATCTGCAAAATATCTTTAATAAATGATGAAGAAGTGTTAAGGTGTTGCCATTGTCACCAGAAATTAATGAAAGGGGATAAAAGAGATGAGTCTTTTGAGTAGAAGTCATGCTCGGTCGTCCATCTTCGTCAGGCCTCTCTGTCATCTGTCAACACTCCTCCTCCCTATCTCTCCCACCCTCTCTCCCCCTCTCTCCCTAACTAACCAATATTAGGGTACTTAAGTGGCTAATACCTGCCAGACAGTAATAGATCGCACCTAGGCTAACTAGGTCGGTAATTTGGAATATATTTTGAGCAAAGACATGTTTACTGTTTAAACTCCCTAAGATAAATAATATCTAATAACAAGGTAGTTGTTTAGTTTACTAGTAATGTTTTTTCAATTACAAATTTAGGGGGTGATTTTGTAATATTTTTGCATACGTTGAAGGTTATAAAAGTTTGTCAAACTCATGTAGTTTTCAAATTTTAAATAACAGAAGAAATGTTTGTTATTAGCTTGGTGTTAGTTGAATAGTCATTGCCTGACTTTACTAGCATTTTCGACTTATCCCAGTTGCTCTCACAAATTTAAATCATTTTGACATTTAGTTGCATCCAAAGTCTTCAAATCTTCAACAGACTTACAGTTACAGTGTTATTCTATATTTTTCGTCAATTTGTCCACTTTAGTGAATACTATGTAGCAAGTTAGTCGCCGATTGGAAATTTTATTTTGGGGTCTTCTAAAATATTCGACTGAAGTGAACTAAACTTGGTAAAGATATCATAATAACAACATTGGTCAAAATAGGTAGTAAAAAATATCAATTGGTGTATATGAAAAACATATTTGTATTATAAGTTGATTGGCTGTCGTGGGCATTTTGTACACGATTAATTTATTATAGTACTCAAAAAAGTTTTGATAAAGAATTATATGATAAAATAAGCCATGTTTTAACTATTCAAATATTTTAATACATCATGGACCTTATATTAATCCTGATACAAATATTTAAACCTTTGTATGTGTTTTGACAATATCTACGATCTTGGGAGATTTGACAGCTTAATGCTCCGAAGCTAGTCGTAAAAGAATAAATAAGAGATTTACCATATCAAAAGGTACGTAGCCTATACAGAAGTCGTTGTATTACATGGAGGTAAAAATAAATACATAATTTACTTTAGTGCGACTCTCAATTGGAATCACACATCGGAGAGGAATGGAGTCAGAGCCGAGGAGAGGAATGGAGTCAGAGTCGAGGAGAGGAATGGAGTCAGAGTCGAGGAGAGGAATGGAGTCAGAGTCAAGGAGAGGAATGGAGTCAGAGTCAAGGAGAGGAATGGATTCAGAGCCGAGGAGTAATGTCTCTAAACCACATTCTGGCATCTGACACGTCCCCCATTGTCAGAAGGATTGCAAAGGAAGATAAATAGGGGCAAAATGAGCAAACCGAACGGCGTGAAAAGGAAAATCGTTTATCCAAAGTGCGGTTTTGTAGTTGAATTTAGTCTTGTGAGTTACAATCTTAGATATATTCAAAATATAATTTTGCCATATTTCTGTTAAGTTTTTGTTTTTAAGTTATTTAAATTTTAAAACACTTATTGTTTAGTTTTATTAAAGATTGCAAAGGAAGATAAATAGAAAAAGAGCAAACCGAACGGCGTGAAAAGGAAAATCCCAAAGTGCGTTTGTGGTTGAATTTTGTCTTGTGAGTTACACTTTTAGATATATTCAACATATAATTTTGTCATATTTCTGTTTTTGTTTTTAAAGCTATTTAAATTTTCAAACACCTATTGTTAAGTAAAACTCTAAATAAAAAAATAAAGTTACCTTGAAATGTTTTAAGTTTGTATAAAATGTCTGTACATTTCTTCCTTAAAACATCTGATAAATGCCATGTCAAATTGTAAGATAAAACCAAGATTGGATAAAATGTAAATAAATAAATTATATTGTATTACAATAATTCAAAGCCGTTGACTTTATTCATTTCCGTTTTCATTGCACTATCTTACGTCTATAATTTTTTGCACTGGGTTAGAGTAATGTATTTTCAAAAATATATGCCAATGATAGAAATCCGCACATTCATCCCTTGGTAGTTTTATGTAGGCCCTAATTGGCTACATAATTTATGCTAACTATACAGGGTGTCCCGTAACTCTCTGGACACTTGTATATAGCGTTATTCCTTAGGTCATGACAAACACATTTCACCATAGGGACATGGGTCTGTGGTGTCTAGTTTACCGACTGTCGGCATTTATGTGTTTTTTACGAAAACATTAATAACTCCTAAACGGTTTGAGATACAGCTTTGATATTTTGCAAAAATGTTAATCTTATTAAGACCTATTATCTTTAGAAATTATACTAAAAAAATCATTAACCGTTTCAAAATGGCGGCCATTTAAAATATTTGGTGCCAAATTTCACGAAAACCGTAAACTTAACAAAAAAATTCCAAGAGAAAAAAAGTTTGTAAATTTTATGTAGTTTTCAATGATACCTTATTTGTTAAGATTGGATAAATAATAACAGAGAAACGTGTTGTTTTCGTAATGTATGACCACTTTTCTCCATTTAAACAATGCTAATACTCCTTTTACGTTGTTTATTGTATCAGTTGTTAAGGTATCATTGAAAACTACATAAAATTTACAAACTTTTTTCCCTTGGAATTTTTTTGTAAAGTTAACGGTTTTCGTGAAATTTGGCACCAAATATTTTAAATGGCCGCCATTTTGAAACGGTTAATGATTTTTTTTGTACAATTTCTAAAGATAATAGGTCTTAATAAGATTAACATTTTTGCAAAATATCAAAGCTGTATCTCAAACTGTTTAGGAGTTATTAATGTTTTTGTAAAAAAACACATAAATGCCGACAGTCGGTAAACTAGACACCACAGACCCATGTTCCTATGGTGAAATGTGTTTGTCTTGACCTAAGGAATATACAAGTGTCCAGAGAGTTACGGGACACCCTGTATAATTTTAATATAAGCCCCAAACAAATAACACTTAAAAAAAATACGTCTTACCTTTTCTTATAACCATTACGATATGAGATGACAGTTTCAGCCATTGAAAAATTCTTCATTAATCAAATAATGAAAAATAAATGTTATACATTAATATAGTTTAATTATTATAATTTAATAAATTATTATAGTAAGATCATAAATGACCTAATAATGTAATTGACTTTGATTTCCATGTTTTGTAAGTTATCGGGATGACTCTTTATAGTGGTAAGTAAACCATTTAAAAACATCTAGTTCTGATGTCTACAAGTGCACCTTAAGTGTTATAAGTTAGTTGCCTACCCACACCATTGTTTAAATAGAAGGAAAATACTTGGTCACCTCGTAGGAACATTTGTTAATGATATCAAGCAAACGAATCGATAAATTATATAAATAAGAAACTTATCAAAACTAAAACACAAAAAAACTATGTTACACGACCTTTGAGTATTGAAATCAAGTCAATTATGTTTTAAAATTAACGTATTCGTTGATTAAAATAGATCAATATTTCAGAATTTTAATATTTATGCCTTACTTTTACAAATGCAACACTACAATAACAACTAATTAGTTATATTATTATATTATTATTATTATATTATATTATTATATTATTTTATATTATTATATTATTATTATAGGTATATGGTTAAGTATTTTATAGTAATTATATTAACCTATTAGGATTAGAATCACACAGTGTAAACAAACTCGGAAGTGCCCTTCTGTTAGTGCTTAGAAGACAAAAAGAGACAAAAAATCAATCTCTGTAACTTACTGTAAGACTCAAACAAAGGCTCAAATGATTGCCCCATGTTTCCTGAAATGTAAAAATACGTGCAAAAACATGCAAAAACAGTGATATACAATATGATCAATAACCGAACGTGTTGGTTTACATGCTAGTAACTAAAACAAATCATTCAAATAGGAAAATAAAATCTAACATTCTTTATTATAGAAAAAATTTTAATATTCATTATCTTAAGAAAAACCTAGATACTGTTTAAACGCTCATTTGTGGGATAAAGTAAAAACGTAAGGGAATCATCGAACTAAAAACTTTTTTACTAATTAAAATCTGGAAATAAAAATAGCACAGTACGTCTCGGTTTTAAAGAGGTTAAACAATAACATAATGTAAACGATGAACCGTAGCATTGTTTACTTTACCAAAAACGTAATTTGTTTATGTTTATGACCCATACCGGTGTTTTTCTAGTATTTGTAGTTCAACATGACATATTGTTGAGGATATGGTATTTAAAAAAATTTAAGATTTTACGCATGCTGTTTTTATTTTGTTATATAAACTCCTACAACCAAGACTTTAAAAATATATTTTACTGTGTATAATAAAAATAAATTACTTATAAGGTTATTATAGGCCTAGCATCTTTAAATCCACACTAAGCAAGATAAATCTTCCATATTTTACACCTGATCATATTTTCCTCCCCCTGAAATCATAACTTTCCAATTGATAGTATAATAGTCAGTATGTAACACATTGGTACAAGATAAACGTTTTATTCCTCAATACATAAAAAAAAAGTTTTTACCGCTTACTTTTTGTTTTTACAAAATGCAACCAAGAAAAGGTTGTGAAAAGTGTTGATTACCCCACGGAAGTTTAAAACTGAAGGTCAATACTTCCGAGACTCGAATCAACATTTCGATATCTTTGGTAACACCCAATATTACAGGGTGTCCCGGAACTGTCTACCAATATTTTAGGGCATTGCTCCTGGGTAAGAAACATACCTAAATATCATATTTAAATTGTCCGGAAGTCCTTAGTTACTCACACAGCCGCCATTTAGTTTTTTCAGTTATCATTTTTTTTCTTATGTATGGCATACGAAATGGAAACTTTACACAAACATTAATGACAACTAGACAAAGCCAGCATGCGCTGCAACTAACCTCCAGCGGTCACGTATCACTAAAACTGCCATATCTCAGTTAATACCCGTCCAATCTTAAAGATTACGATGTCGATCGATTTGTAATAACATTGCCTTAAAAAAGTTATTCTTGTAAAATTTTGGTAAAATCAAGTTATTTAGGAAACAAAAATTTCGGCCGCCATTTTGTTTTATGAATTTGAAAAATCGTCATAATTTTTTGGTAGCTTTGTCTAGTTGTCATAAATGTTTGTGCAAAGTTTCCATTTCGTATGTTTAACCATTCTTTAGAAAAAAATAATAACTGAAAATAACAAAATGGCGGCTGTGTGAGTAACTAAGGACTTCCGGGCAATTTAAATGTGATATTTATGTTTCTTACCCAGGAGCAATGCCCTCAAATATTGGTAGAGAGTTCCGGGACACTCTGTATCCCAACCTTTATATTATACAGCCGGATGTGTAACTAGTAACGTATACTAATGTTTGGGCACTTCTAGATGAGCTAGAGACGTGAAATTTTCGGTGTTTTGAAGGTGTAGTGCCCAGACCCCCGGGAAAAATCTGAAAAGTGGCATTTTCTTCTTCCAACCCCCCCTAAATTAACGATTTCCCCCCCATGTTATTCTTATGGGAAATAACGTTGAAAACACCAATTTTCGTACGCTCATCTGAACCGTTTAGAAACGTGCTAGAGACTTGGAATTTGCGTAGTATTGTACTATGGGATCTTAAATTACCGGTAATATCCTTAAAAACCCTATTTTCAAAATTCTACCCCCCCAAAAAAAATCCATAAAAATTTCGGTTTTCGGAAAAACATGTTTTTTTAAAACGGCTGTAGCTCGAAAACCGTAAGAGCTAGAATCGATTTGAGGAAAAATCGTGAGTTCGAAATTAAATTTTCTACAAGACAGTTTTGTCAGAGAAGGCGTCATATCGAAATTCGCACTCCTTCACCTTCAAAAAACGCTCTAACTCCAAAAATTGTGAAAATCCTCTATTTTTTTACGTGTTTTTAATTTTTAAAACGACTTTTCGTATATATATTTCTACTTGTTATGCTCCCAACATTTAAAGGAATGTCCCTAGAGTGACCTTCAATAATTTTAACCTACAAAAAAAATTCAAAATGGCGGATTTTTAATAAAAAAGATTGTTTTTTAATGTATTTCTTATGGAGAATTAACATGCGTCGACAGGCAAACTAGACGTAAACGTCAGTAGGTGAAATATGGGCGTTTGGTGACAGAAAAAACATTTTTGTCACTTCTAGAGTAGCTAGGGAGCTGAAATTTTTGTTTAAAGGTTCGTCTGGGTACCAAACCACCCAGAGAGTCCCAAAATTTAGTTTTTCCAACTGAAACCCGCCAAAAGAAATCCCGTAAAACCCTAGTTTTTTTGGGAAAAACATGTTTTTTTTAAACTGCTGTAGCTTGAATACGGTAAGAGCTAGAATCGATTTGAGGGAAAATCGTAGGTTCAGAATTAAATTTTCTACAAGACAGTTTTCTCAAAGAAGGGGTCATATCGAAAATCTGACTCCTTCACCTTCAAAAAACGCCCTAATTCGAAAAATTGTAAAAGTTCTTGATTTTTTGCTGTTTTTAATTTATAAAACGACTTTTCGTACATATATTTGTACTTTTTATGGTCTTAACGTTGAAAAGAAAGTCCCTTGAGTGACCTTCTATAATTTTAACATACTAAAAAATTTTAAATGGCGGGTTTTTATTCAAAAAGGTACTTTTTAACGCTTTTTTTAACGTATTCCTTATAGAAAATTAACATGCTTATACACGCAAACGAGATCAAAATGTAAGGAGGTAAATTATTATGGATATTTAGACCAATACCATTCTAACCCCCCCCTCTTTCATCCCCATTAATAAAATGTTACCATTAGCAACAGGGTGCAGCACTAATATTTTTTTTAAATCTATGACAATAGCTAATTTGCAACCAAAAGGTGAGTGAGCGTAGCGAACGAGCTAACCTGAAGGCAAGTGAGCGCAGCGAACGAGCTCCAACCTAAAGGTGAGTGAGCGTAGCGAGCGAGCTTACCTAAAGGCAAGTGAGCGCAGCGAACGAGCTCCAAATTAAAGGTGAGTGAGCGTAGCGAACGAGCTAACCTGAAGGCAAGTGAGCGCAGCGAACGAGCTCCAACCTAAAAGTGAGTGAGCGTAGCGAACGAACTAACCTGAAGGCAAGTGAGCGCAGCGAACGAGCTAACCTGAAGGCAAGTGAGCGCAGCGAACGAGCTCCAACCTAAAGGTGAGTGAGCGTAGCGAACGAACTTCAACCAGGATATGATTGAGCCATGCATTTAGTTTAATTTTTTCCCATCTCAACCCCAAATTCGTGTTTAAACCTGAAATTTTACCTTATTTCCCCTATTTTTGGTGATTTTGACTGCGCAAGGGGTCGATTCTTCATGCCGATCATTTTTACCAACCCCCCAATACTATTTTACCTCACTCTAACTCCTAAGACTTTATATCGATGCTTATTGATGTGAAGAAAGTTTTAGAGGTTGTGACTTAGCAAATTTAATTTATCGTAGCAACGGCCCTACATCGAGACTCTAACATGTCAAGACTGGTTAGGTTTGCACTACTATGGAATACTTCGCAACTGCCAAGTTATCACTACGTCTTTTAAGCAAAAATGTTTCCGGACAAAAAATGTTTCCGTACAACATCCTGTCCCCCGTGAACATTTCTCATCACGGCTACTATTAAAAGGGGGCCTGGGGGCGGAGCCCCCAGCGAGCACAAGGCGAGTCTAAATCTAAATACTATACAATCCGATGTGTAACTGACTGGGGATACAAATTCTAGACCACTTCTAGATGAGCTAGAGACTTGAAATTTTCGGTGGTTGTAGGTCTAGTGCCCAAACCACCCATAAAATTCCAAAAAGTCGCATTTTCAAATTTTAACCCCCCCGAAAATTCGAATTCCCCCCCCCATGTTATTCTTATGGGGAATAACATTAAAAATGGCCGACTTTCGTGTTCCCATCTGAACCACTTAGAAACGTGCTAGAGACTTCAAATTTGCGTAGTATTGTAGTGTGAGGTCTTACAATACCGGTGGAATTTGCAAAAGTCCCATTTTCAAATTTTAACCCCCCCAAAAATCCAAAATGGCGGACCTCTGAAAACGAAAAAACACTTTTTTTCGACCGGATGTAGCTCGAAAACGGTAAGAGATAGAAAAGATTTGAAAGTATATCCAGGAACAGGAATTAAATTTTATACAAAACCCTCTTAGGCGTTTTCCAAAAATCGGACTCCTTCAGCTTCAAAAACCGCCCTACTTTCAAAATTTGGTAAATTTTTATTGAATTTTTACCGGTTTTCGTCATTTTTTCATACCTAAATAATTTTTTTCCGCAAATATTATTATTGCTTTGTATTGTCCTTACTTTACTTTAAATTTCACTTGGTAATTGTTTTTTCGTAACTTCACTGCTTGACCCCCAAAATTAATTTTAATCTCAAAATTTGAAGGTTTTTTGCTACTTTTACGAGCCCTATGTTATTCTTATGGAGAATAAGATTGAAATTTAATGACTTTGGTATGGTCAGCTGAATCGTTTGGAAACGTGCTAGAGACTTGTAATTTGGTAGTATTGTAGTAAGGGATCATAAGCTAATGGTGAAATTCCCAAAAGTCCCATTTTCAAATTTTAACCCCCCCAAAAATCCAAAATGGCGGACCTCTGAAAACGAAAAAACACGTTTTTTTTCAACAGGATGTAGCTCGAAAACTGTAAGAGCTAGAAAAGGTTGGAAAGAATTTTAGCGAAAGGAAATTAAATTTTCTACAAAACCCTAATAAGCGTTTTCCAAAAATCGCACTGCTTCAGCTTCAAAAAACGCCATACTTTTAAAATTTGATAAATATCT